TGCTGATATACACAGTTGTTACAATGCATGGACCTGTCCTCATGGAATTGCACATTTTACTATGTTGTTGTTGTTATGTGCCGTCGAGTTGGACCCAACTCATAGCGACCCCTCCTTGGGTTTCTGAGGCAGTATCACTACAGAAGTAGATTGCCCCATCTTCCTTCCCAGGAGTGGCTAGCGGGTTTGAACCGCCAGCCTTCTGGTTAGCAGTCAAGTGCCTTAGGCACTATGCTACCAGAGCTCCCAACATTTCACTATAACATTTCACTATAAGGGTATTTATTTTACATTGATGGAAAGAAAAAAAAAAGTAAGCAAATCCAGAACTCTAGTTAAGGATATACATGTTGAAGTGTTTAGAGGTACCAATGTCTGCAACTTATTTTGAAATGTATCAACAAAAATACAGTGGATTTGACAGATGGGTGGATGGAGATGGAGATGTGCTAAATCCTATTTTGTTCACGCTGCATCCCCAGGGCTTAGCAACAGAGGCAGACGGGCAGTACCTGTCAGTATGAACAAAGGACTTGCCCGACCCTCAGGGACCCTGACCCCTAGATGGTACTTAGTGATCCGTGAAAGGGCAGGGAAGGGAGACAGAAGCATCAGGGGAAAAACAGTGGACCCCGCAGGGAAGCTGAGGTTTGGAAGACAAGTAGGCACGAGCCCCGTGAAGAGGAGACGAGAAGGATATGCCTGGCAGAGCAGGCACCGTGAGCAAAGCCCTAGAAGTGAGAATCAGCAGAGTGCTTGGGGGTTATTATGAGCCTTCAAAAGGTAGCGTGCAGGGGTGGGGTGGGAGTGGAAGAGTGGGGCTCCTTCCTGCAGGGATTGAAAACTGGAAGATCTTAACTGGGGCAGTGTCCTCAACAGATCTGGGTTTCTGAGCCATCGCCCAGATAAGAGAATGGATTGAAGATGGCAGGAGTGAAGCAGGGGTATCCACTAACCCACTGCTATGGAGTGGATTCTGACTCACAGCACCCCTGGAGGACAGAGTAGAACTACCTCTAGGGTTTCCAAGGCTGTCACTCTTTCCAGATGCAAAGTCCAAACCAAACCACTGCTGCCAAGTCGATTCTGACTCACAGCGCCCCTAGAGGACAGAGTAGAACTGCCCCTAGGGTTTCCAAGGCTGACAATCTTTATGGAAGCAGACTGCCTCATCTTTCTCCCTGAGAGCAGCTGATGCATTCAAAACACCCACCTTCTTGTTAGCAGGCAAACACCTTAACCACTGCCCCACAGAGCTTCCTGGATACCCACTAGGAGGCTGCTGTAACAGTTCTGTCGGCACCCAATAAAGCAGCAGTAAGGCACTGGAGAAAGGGGCAGACGAGAATTTCGTAAGAGACTCAACAGGAGGACATGGTTGCTCGTGGGAACTGGCTGAATGGAGAGGCGAGGACTGCCTCTGCCTCCTGGGTGTTCCCATCTCGGCCAGCTCCTGGGATTGTGATGCCATTTACTGGGTCAAAGGATGGTGTGGGGTGGGGGAGGAAGCGATGAGGCTGAGGCTCGGGGGATGTCCCAGTGGCGATGTCAAGCGAGCATTTAGTTCTTTGAGTCTGGGGGTTGGGAGCACTGTGTGGAGGCAGAGGGTGGGGAACCATTAACTCAAGGGGCAGGTGGGGACCTGGTAGAGAGAAAGGCCACGAAAAGAGCTGGGCCAGGACAAGAGACATTGAAGGGATCAGGAGGAAGGGAGGGACCAAGAGTGGACAGGGAATGGAAGGAGGATGGGAGAGCTCTGCAGGCCAGGGCCCAGGAACCGGGAAGGGAAGCATTTCCAAACAGAGCGTGGACACTAGTGGGGAGCAAGTATGACAAGGTGAAGAACCTGGAGGTGCCTGTGGGGGAGGTGGCTTTTAAACCAGGACACAAAATGGGCCGCAAGGAAAGTGGGGGCTGGCCTGGTCTCAGGACAGATGTCCTGCAGCCAGGAAAGGGACTAAAACGGGGAGGATGCAAACCTCAGCTGGTCAGGGAAGCTCCAAAATGCACATCCCACGCAGGGCCAGGAACCCCCTCCCGAGCCTCACTGATACATGGATCTCTGGCCTCTATCCCAGCACCCCAGTGTTCTCATCTATAAAACGGGGTGATAGGAGAAACAGCTGTCATTTATTAAGCACTTGTTATGTCCCAAACCAGGGCTCATTTAATCCTCACAATAGTTTCATCAGGTGACTCCACATTATCCTCACTTTAAAACTCAAACTCACTGCCCTCGAGTCGGATCTGACTTGTAGCGACCACTCTTGGGTTTCTGACGCTGTATCACGACGGAAGTAGACTGGCCAACCTTCCTTCCAAGGAGTGCCTAGTGGGTTTGAACTCCCAGCCTTCTGGCTAGCAGTCAAATGTCTTAGGCACTATGCCACCAGAGCTCCCATAGTCACTCTACAGGTAAAAAAATCTGAGGCACAGAGAGGTTCAGTCACTTGCTTAAAGTCACACAGCAAACGAATGGAGATGTTGAGATTCAAACCTAGAGTCTAAATTCTTGGCCTTAACACTGTACCATTAGCCCATACAAGATACTTAACAGAGCACCGTCATCACTGCATGGGTAGCTGAGGGGATTAATGAGATGGCCCACACGTCCAGAAATGGCTGCGATATGCATGTAGAAATGCACGTGGTAGGCTCAATTATTAAAAAAAAAAAAAAACCCTAAACTCATTCCCATCAAGTCAAATCAAACTCATAGCGACTCCCTTTCGGTTTCCAAGGCTATAAATCTTTTTAGTAGATCACCCACCCCATCTTCCTTCTGCAGAGTAGCTGGTGGGCTTGAACTGCTAACCTTCTAGGTAGCATCAAATGCCTTATCCATTACACCACCAGGACTCCCTGGCTGAATTATAGTCCTCCGAAAAGGTCCATATCCTAATCCCTAGAATCTGTGTTACCAGACATAGCCAACGGGACTTTGCAATTAAATTAAGGATACTGAGATGAGAGCTTATCCTGGATTACCTAGGTGAGCCCAAGGACATCACAAGGTCCTTACGGAGGAAGGCAGGAGGGTCAAAGATGGAGAAGGTGATGCGATAACAAGTAAAAAGAGAGAAGGGACTTGAAGATGCTATGCTGCTGGATTTGAAAATGGAAGAAGAGGCCAGAAGCTAAGGAAAGCAGGTGGCCGTTAGAAGCTAGAAAAGGCAAGGAAACCAATCCTCCCCTAGAGCCTCAGGAAGGAACCAGCCTTGCTGACACCTTGACTTTAGTCTGGTGAGACTGATTTTGAACTTCTGACCCCTCTTGCAGGCCTAGAATAAGGGAACCTTCTATTATTTGAAGGTTCTTTCCCACAAACTACCAGGACATGTGAGGCCTGGTTATTGCCCCCATTGCACAGATAAACAAACTAATGCTCAGAGAGGGAAAACAGCCTACCTAGAGCCACACAGCCAGTGAATAACAGAGCCAGGACTTGAACTGTCACTTCTGACTTCAGATCTACCACACTGAGGTTCATGTCTCAGAGCTCAGCTAATATGTCACCTCCTCAGGGAAGCCTTCCTAGATACCCCTGGGCCCATTCATTTATTTATTCATTCATCAAACAGTTCCTCTGTACTTAGTGCCGTGCTTGGCAAGCTAGGGACCCAGTTCTGCCCTCAGGAGGCCACAGCCTAGTAGACAAGACAAAAACACAAACCAATGATCCCAAGACAGCCTAACAAATGATGAAATAAAAGGAGGGAAGCATAGGGTTTGTGGGAGCCCTAAAAATGAGAACCTGAGCCTGAGATCAGGGAAGGCTTCCTGGAAGAGGTGGTGATTGAATTGAAGAGAGCAGGCTTTAACCAGGGCTGTAGGATAGGGGTTCAAGGTGGGGGGAACAGCTAAGCACAGATAGAGAGTTACAATGCTTTACGCTTTCCAATGCCAAGGACTGCGATTTTGCATCAGTCCCTTTGCTGAGCATCTAGACTAAATGGGTGGGTGACCCCAAGCCCAGAAGTCTCTGGGGTTCTGTCCTCTGGACCTCTATGTTCTTGTGCATGAAATGAGAATTCCGGGCCGAGCTTGAATTGCTAGGGCCAAGGGGCAGGGCGCTGAGAAAAAGAGGGGTCTTGGGATTCCCAGAGGAGGAGAAGTGAAGGTCAGAAAGGGTTAACAGTAAGGGGGACAGGGCAAGGTGGGGAGAGTGTTAGGGAGGAAGGTCCTTTCTCAAGCCCCTACTCCATGTCTGACTCACGGTGTGACTTCAGGAAGGTCTTCTCAAGAGTCTAAGTGACCCTATCTGAGAAATGGAGCATGGGACAAAACTGTCACCAAAGACCCTCCCCAGCCCTGACGGGGAAACAACAGGACACAAAATTATAAAAGGGTCTTTATTTGTAAAAAGTCAAAGGGGGCCCTGGGGTGGTAGGATAGGCAGGCCGGCTTCTCAGGGGTCAGGGGCATTTGGGCAGATGCGCTTGAGTGGGGGGGCGCCCTCCGAGTCCTCTGTGTCACCCTGGGCTGCCTCGGGGACAGGTGGCACTGGCTCAAAGACGGGGTAAGCTTCAGGGGCCTGGAGAGGAAGGGCGGACAGGCGTGAGCTCCACCCGAACCCAGGAGTCCAGCCTCCTAGCCTCTGCCTTCTCCAAAGCCTCCACTCCACTCCCCTCCTGGATCCAGGAGTCTAGCCCAGAGCCAGGTACCCAAGATGCAGCTTAAGCAGGGCCCCAGAAAAAGCAACAAGAACAAATTCTGGAGAAAGAATGTGATATGGGAAACTTCTGAAAAAAATGCATCAGCATAATCCTTGTGGGGAAAATCAGAACTTCGTGGGGGACTTTCTTAAGCTTGAAGACGTTGGCCAGCACTAAAATACCCTTTCCTTTTTGGTCCCGAGAATCCAGCCTCTAAGTCTTCAGCTGTGTCCTAAGTCTATGTTCCCCTTCTGGACCCAGGAGTCCAGCCTCCAAGCCTTTGGCTAACCCCAAAGCTCCCAGCCCCTCAAAGACCTAAGAGTGCAGCCTTCTGGCCTCTCTCACCTCAGCAGCCAGCAATTCTGGAACAGGCTCCTCCTTGGTCAGCATCGGGGGTTCATCGGTGCCGCCCGCAGTTATGCCCCCAGGATCTGGAAGGTCAAGTTAACAGACATTCCCTGAGCAGCCACTCAGCGACAGTAACACGGACACGTTGGGACAACACACGGCAACGAGCACCGGTCACGTGAGCCAGAGAGGACAGAGGAATGAGGAAAGAGAGCCTGGCTATGAGGACCCAGGAGGCAGTAGAGGAAGGAATGTTTATGCGGGATCTTGAAGGCTGAGCAGGACTCTGTCTGGCAAAGCAAGGCGCAGCACATTTTCAGTGGAGGGAATTCACACTGAGAGAGCGGACGTTCTGGGGTTGGACTGCCTGGGTTCATATCCTGACCCTGGCTACACATCTTAAGTTCTTTAAGCCTCACTTTTCCCATCTGTAAAATGGGGATAACAATAGCTCAGGGGGGTAGGACTACTAGGAAAGAAGGACACAGGAAAGAGGTTAACTACAGGGAGGAAGTAGAAAGAGAGCTGTTACACTGTGAGGAATTACAGTCAGTGGGAGCTCTGGTGGCACAGTGCCTAAGGCATTTGACTGCTAACCAGAAGGCTGGTGGTTCAAACCCACCGGCCACTCCTCAGAAGGAAGGTCGGGCAATCTATTTCTGTAGAAATACTGCCTGGGAAACCCAAGGAGGGGTCACCATGAGTCGGATCCAACTCGACAGCAGTGAGTTTGCTTTTTTTTTTTTTGTCATGAAACACATGAAACAAAATGTGTATGAATTGCTGTATGGAAAATGAATTTGCTCTGCAAACTGTCAACCAAATCACAATAAAAATTTTAAAAAATATATAGTAGTTACCATATGAGACGGGAGCTCTGGTAGCATAGTGCCTAAGGCACTTAACTGCTAACCAGAAGGCTGGCGGTTCAAACCCACCAGCCACTCCTCAGAAGGAAGATTGGGCAATCCTACTTCCATAGTGACACTGTCTCGGAAACCCAAGGAGGGGTCACTATGAGTCGGGGCCGACTCGACGGCAAATAACAACAACAACAACCATATGAGACGGTTGTGAGGACTGAATGAGATAATACAGGTAAAGGCCTTAGCACATCTAAGTGTTCAGTGAACCTCAATGACGGTTTCATATTAGCAAAGGCATACAAGTGCGTGGCACACACTGGAGGGGCAGCACACGGGCCCATGAGGTTCCTGGAGGAGAACAATGATGGCAGCAGGGCCCAGGTCACAAAGGGCCCTGACTGCCAAGCTGAGGAGTTAAAGGCCATGGGAGCTACCAAAGGCTTTGATGCAGAGGAATGACCCTGACACTTGTGGTTTAGTTGCTCTGGCAACTGGCTGGAAGCAACTGGAGGGAGGAGACTGATGAGGAAGCTGGAGCCAGGTATCAGTGAAAGATGGGAAGGCCAGAGCCAGGACAGGGCCTGGGGAGGGAGAGAGGCAGGGACTGACTGTGAGAGGGAGCTTGCTGTTAAGTCTGGCAGCTTCCCTAACTTCTCTGAGCATCACTTTTCTCATCTGTACATGGGGATCCTAATAGGATATTGCTGTCCCAAAGGATGTGGTAAGGATTCAAAAAGATAAAGTATGTGAAGTGTTTAGAATGGCCTGGCGCACAGTAAGAGCTCAATATACATTAGCCGTTACCATCTTGTGAACTATCTCGTTAATTAGTTTTACGATTATCATCTCAACAAATATTTGTTGACACCTATTAGGTGTCACATGGTGTTCCCAGGCTAGCCCAGTGAGCAAGATCAGTTATTAGGCCAACCCTCAGGGAGCCGACATGACGTAGGAGTGGGGGAGAAGACATGAAACTAATAAAGTTAATTTACTTGAAATGTCAGGTGGTGGTAAGGGATCTACAGACCCTAAAAGGCCAGAGGAATGACTCGGACAGTAACTGGTAACTTTCCAGGGCAGTCAGGGGAGGCCTCCCTGAGGAGGTGACAAAAGAGGAGGAGCAGACAGGCAGGGAAGCTGGTGGGTTCAGCTCTGCAGAGAACAGGGCTCATCAAGGAGAGGACTTCTGGGAACCACCTGGTCCTACCTCTCTCCTGGCCCAGCTGTGGGGGCTGAGCCTCTTCTGGGACCCCATCTGGGGGTCCAGCAGGTGATTCTGGGCGGCTGGGCTGGGGGGTGCCCCCAGGGCTGGGCTCGGCCTTTTGCAGGGACCCTTCTGAATGGAAACTCTGGTTGCTGTTCTCATCTGTGGGAGTGAGAAGCCAGAAGGGTTGGGCCTGAGACCCCCAGTGCCCTCCTCCACTCCCCACTGTCCCCCAGATGCCAGGACCCCACATACCATTGAGATCAAGCAGGATGAGAGGACCACTCCCTCGGGGGCTGGCGCCCCTGCCCCGTCGCTCCCGGCCACGGGATCTCTCTGCACCACCCCCTGCCCGTCGTCGGTCCTGGGGATTGGAAGGGTAAGGGTCAGAGCCCTAAGGGCCTTTCCGGTTACCTTGTGCAATCCCCTCACTGTACAGATAAGGAAACTGAGGCACATACAAGCCAAAGGCCCTGTCTAAGGTTGACAAAGAGTGTACACACTGAGTTAGGTTCTGAATTCTGGGGTGTGGAGCAGGAAAAGAACAAGGGGGGATAGGGTGGCTGGACTGCTGCATTCGAGGTCTGAGTGGGGCGTAGAGGTGGAGGTCACGGTGGGGAGGGGCTTGCCTGAGGTAGCACAGTTGGGGGGGTCGGGGCTTGCTCACCTCTTCCTGGGGGTCCACCACTGGCACCCACTTGAAGATACGAAGGGAAGTGTCACCCACAGTCACCCAGCGCTTCTCCCTGTGGGAGGATGGGAGGTAGCTGGGTCAGAGAAGCCTGACAGAAGAAAACCCCCCAAGCCAGGCGCATCTAGGGGTACCTGAAAAGGTGGGGGGAGGGGCTCCAGGGAGGGGATAGTTTTGCTAAGAAAACTCTGCTCACCCCAGGGCATAAATAGGAGGGAATTTAAAGATAAGGTATGGCTTGGGGACATACAACTACTACTCCCCACTGCCCTGCACTTCATTCTGACTCGTAGCAATCCTGTAGGACAGAGTAGAACTGTCTCGTAGGGTTTCCAAAGCTGTGAATCTTTAGGGCAGCAGACTGCTACATCTTTCTCCCGCGTTCAGGGCCACAGTTCTGAAAAACCCTGGCACACATGAGGCATGGCTCTGGGCCTGAGTGAGGACCGTGGCGATGAAAATCCTGGGGCATACTTGGCATGGAGGGGGGTCACAGGTTTAGGGGACGGGGCATAAATTGGGGTTCCACTCAATGAGGGCACGGCTGGGGACCACCAAGGTAAGAGGAACAGAGCCCTGTCAATCCGGAGCACAGCTGGGGCGCACGCCTAACACCTGGGGGCCACAGCTGGCGAGGGGGAGGGTAGGCGCATTTGGGGGCGGTGGCCCCCCCAGGTCCCGTCCCCGCCCCCTGCCGCAGCGCTCACCATCTCCGGACCTTCTCGATGGTCGCCATCACCTTCTTGATGTCATCCTTGGCCCGGCTCCGGGTCTCGGCCCGCACGGTCCGGCCGGCCATGCTGGCGGGGCTGGGGGCCGAGGCCGGACCTGTGGCGGCGCTGCCTCCCGTCCGGCGGGCTGAGGCTCCGCGCCAGGCACCAGCGCCGCTCTCCCGGCCTGCTGTCCCTCTGGGAGTTGGCCGCGCCCTCCTTCGCTCCCCAACGCCTCCGCGAGTCCCCGCCCCGCTTCCTGCCGCCGTGCCCCGCCCCGGCCCGTCACTGG